AGAGCAAGAATGACAGATGTAAATAGTTGGAAGAAGAAATATGAAGAGAGACAATTTACCAGTTACATGATGATCAATTAAAAACACAAACCAATTCTGACATCTATTCAAGCCCATTAAAAAAAATTTTTCATGGGTTAAAAAAATTCTAATAAAACTACACTGCTAGTTAAGTAGATTTTGCAAGTAAAGAAGGTCATTTTCTTGGTATTATTTCCCCAGACAAAACAATTTTAAGATGATTATTTTTTCTGTAATATTTCCCATTTTGACCATAAGCAATTCTACACATTTATAAAAGGATTTCTAATTTCAACAATCTGTGTAAAAAAAATTTTAAGAGACTAACTCATCTTACTAAATAAAAAAGGCCTGAACTCGTCCTTTTGCCAATTTTTGCCAATTCTTGGAGAGTTAAAGCAACTGGAAGGCTTCCCTGGTGGCTCAGTGGTAAAGAATCTGCCTGCAATGTAGGAGATGAGGAGTCAGTCTCCAGGCTGAAGTCTTCCTGGAAGATCGCTGACCATCCAGGTAGGAGGCAAAAAGTCTCAGGAATATAGAGATCTCCTCATTTCTTTCTCCAGTCGTAGGTGGTGATTTAGAAAGAAAAAGCAAAATGTAAGAGAACACAAGACCTGACTACCCTGACAGACCTCCGGTACTAAAAACCGATTATCACAGCCAAAGCATCCCCCAAACAAGAGAAAACAGGTTTAGGAGTAATTCTCTAGTTTAAGAAGGCTTCAAACCAATTAAAGAAAACAAATTCCAGATCAAATCTAAACACAGTTTTTTCTAAGGCAGTGGGTAGGGCAGTCAGTCAGTCTCTGAGAAATGTGTAATGAAGGCCAACCAGTGACACTGGTACAAACTGTGTACAGTGGACCCTTGAACAGCACAGGTCTGAACTGTGTGGGTCCACTTATACATGTGTTTTTCTAAGTACATACTATGCTGTTGCTGTTTGGTTATTCAGTTGTGCCCGACTCTTTATGACCCCATGGGCCTCTGTCCATGGGATTCTCCAGGCAAGAATACTGGAGTGGGTGCCATTTCCTTCTCCAGGATCTTTCCAACCCAGGGATTGAACCTGTGTCTCTTACGTCTCCTGCTTTTGCAGGCAGATTCTTTACCACTGAGTCACTAGCGAAGCCCAAGCACATCTTACAGTACTACACAACCTGCATCTGAATACACATATAGGGAAGGCCAACTTTAAAGTAATATACAGATGTTCAGCTGCATGGTCAGTCAGTGCCCATAATCCCCGTGCTGTTCAAGGGTCAACTGTACTAACCCTTCTCCATGTTCACAGTTGAGATTTGTACCTGGATAAGGCAAGGCAAAGACGAGCTCTGCTTTTAAGGGAGAAGAAGGCAAAGAACCCTGAGGGCTGAGATAAGCATCTCTTCCTAGAAAATGTCAGAACTGACTCTGCTGGCCAAGTGGAAAGTGCCTGGTGAAGATCAAAGAGCAGGATGACAAGAGATGCTCCAAGGACTGTGGGGCACAGGCAGGGCCCTGGTGGTGATCTCCTAACACAAACGAACACATGAGCACAGAGGACAGACTCCACAAAGGTGACTCAACGGTCTGCTGGGGACTTCTGGTAAATGCCAACAGCTGATCCTGCCTTCGTTTGCTGTGCTGAAAAAGCTGTCTTCTCAGAAAGGTCAAATGCTGCTCCGAATGGATAACACAAGGAGAAATGGCAGTTTGGCGAGGAGACATGTGTTCCTGTTACCCTTGGGAGTGCAGTGGAGAGACAGGCAGGCACAGACCTACCTGGACCCTGGGGCCTGAGAAGATCATTTCAAACACACAAAGGAAAAGAAAAAAAAAAACAAAACAGTTTTCAGGATAATAAACCCTAAGATGAAACTCCTTTTTGGGAGAAATGAGAGTCTGAAAATATCAATCATGAATGATCCCAATGAGAAAAAAAGAAGGAAAAATCCTCCCCACCCAAAATAAAGCTGTCAGGTCACAGGAGGTGCCTGCTATGCCTCTGACTCCTGTTTTAAGAGGACACACACGGGAGATGGGAGAAGAAGAGGAAGATAGCAACTAAGACTGAGGGATGGGGGCGGGGGGGGGGGGGGGGGGGGGGCACCGTATGTCCCAGATGGTGAAAACTAGAATAAGGTGAGCTGACCAAAATTACAGTTATAAGCAACAAAAGGGTCTTTTCCATGACTTTCAGAACAAGAACGAGACACACTTACAACGTGGGGAGGCTACTGTAATGTTAACAGAGGACAGCGGGATAGCAGAGGCTGGTTCTCCATACCTATGTTAACTCCATTTTCCCCAACAAGGAGACTGGAGAAGAAACCAGAACAAGTAGAACAAACCTCACAGAGGAAATGCTGAAGTTCAAGACAGCTGAGAAGTTGACAAGCAACTTCTTAAACCTTCTTGACCCTTCTCAAACAAGTTCAAGTCTCCAAGACCAGAAATGTATCCTGTGGTCCTAAAGAAATCTGCCCTTTTCAGAAATTATGCATAGCAGGGTAGCTGCCAAACTACACACTAAGTGACAAACTCTTTAAGGATAAAGGCACTGGATTCCATGAACTACAGACTAGAAAATCATATGCTAATTTCTTACAAAATTTTAAGAAAACATAAAGATTTGTATATATTTATACAAGCATGAATTAAATGAAGACATGGACTTTCTAACACAAAGTTGTTATCAATCTAAGCTTATTTCTTCTTATAACATGGCTAGTAAGTTGGTAATGAGGGGAATGCTATATATAGAAAGGATCTCAACTTCATCAGAACATCTGATTCACTACTTTCCACTACTTTTTTTTGGCATCATGGGGCATGCAGGATCTTAGTTGCCTGACCAGGGATTGAACCTGTACCCCCCTGCAGTGGAAGTGTGGAGTCCTAATCACTGGCGTGCCAGAAAAGTCCCTGATTCAATACCTAGTGACCTTCCTTTCTCACCAGGACACATTAAAAAAAAAAGAGAGAGAGAGAAACGAATCACTGTGTTAAGATTATGATGTTGAGAATTTTCTTGGCCTTAAAAAAACCACCAAACTTCCTTCATTATTATTATAATGTTTATTACTATTTTACACACACACACACGAAATCTAAGAAAAAAAAATTATATAGACCCAGTTTACTCATATGTAAATACAGGGGTTCTAGCAGGACTATATCACTTCAGTTACTGAAATTTAAATCCAGCTTTTTGGGGAACAAAATAAGGACAACCACAAAAAAAAATTATTAAAAAAAGAAGTGAAGCTGATCCTAACTCCTCACAAGTTAATGACAAGATGCAACTGCTGAGACTGTGTTAAAAGAACGTTGTGCCACCCATGGGAGGTAACAGCGTGTCTGTGTTCGGTCCTGGTGAGATAGTATCTTAGGTTGCTTAATTTAAGAGGGAGGCTGACCAAATAAAGTATGTCTAAAGGACAGCAACTGAATTGATGAAAGGATTAAAAAAAAAAATTCATATCCTGAAAACCAGCTGAAGGACATGGAGAGTTTTCCCCTGGATGTAAAACTAGAAAATAAATGCTCCCCTCAAACATATGAAGTGCTATGCATGTGAGAGGGATCAATGATGGGATGAATGGCAAGATACTGGCAGGAAACAAGACTTTTTGCTCAACATGAGAAATAAACTGTTTAATCTCAGAACTGGCTGTGAGCTACTCATCCACAGAAGTATTCAAACAGAGCACCTGTCAGGGTAGGAGAGATAGGAAGATACCTCTGAAGTCTTCTTCAAGGATCTGAAGGAATAAAGACTAGTTGGCTTTAATTCTACCTTTACCTTTTAAATTAAGATGGTTAAGTTGGCTTAAAACTCAACATTAAAAAAAAAAAAAAAACACTAAGATCATGACATCTGGCCCCATCATTTCATGGCAAATAGAAGGGGAGAAAGCGAAAACAGTGACAGATTTTCTTTTCTTGGATTCCAAAACCACTGCAGACAAGGACTGCAGCCATGAAATTAAAAGACACTTGCTCCTTGGAAGAAAAGCAATGACAAACCTAGAAAGCATATTAAAAAGCAGAGATATCACTTTGCCAATGAAAGTCCATATAGTCAAAGCTATGGTTTTTCCAGCAGTCATGTATGGATGTGAGAGTTGGACCAGAAAGAAGTATGAGTGCCAAAGAACTGATGCTTTCGAACTGTGGTGCTGGAGAAGACTCTTGAGAGTCCCATGGACAGCAAGAAGATCAAACCAGTCAATCCTAAAAGAAATTAACCCTGAATATTCACTGGAAGGACAGATGTCGAGTTCCAAAACTGCGGCCACCTGATGAGAAGAGTCAACTCCTTGCAAAAGATCCTGATGCTGGGAAAGACTGAAGGCGAAGAGGGCAGCAGATGAGATGGTTAAATAGCACCACCGACTCAATGGACATGAGTTTAAGCAAACTCCAGGAGACAGTGAAGGACAGAGGAGCCTAGTGTGCTGCAGTCCATGGGGATGCAAAGAGCTGGACGTGACTTATCGACTGGACAACAATAACAACTGAAATGTGAAGAAAATCTGGGAATGGTCTAGACCAGTGTTCGCTGAACTCAACGATGGATTCCGAGAGGTATTAACAGGATGCCATACTCAAGGTAGGCTGAGAAACACTGCGTGTTCCAGGCCATATCGGCAGATCTGACACCTGGCACACACTGACTTTAAGCCATCCAAGGGTAGCCGAATCTCTGTGCCTTTGTTTAGCTCAACTGTTTTTTTTTTTTTTTTTTGATACCAATCAATCATTTATTTCAGGACATAATATACTATTTAGACCCAAGGACAATACTAAATCATAACCCTGTTAAATATCTATAGGATATTTTATTTTTGTGAAGATAGGTCCTTAAAAACTGGACAGATTAATAATATAACAAATATCAAAATCAGATGAAAAATATGTATTGCTCTCATTCACTCTGTCCTAATGTTAAAGATATTACAAAGATACACAGATTATCATCATGCTGTTCTTTTGGGAGGCTATATTCAAACTGACAAAAAGGTGTTGTCAAAGGGATCTTTCTCTGATTTTTGCGAAGAAAAACAGTCCAAATTGTATTCTTAATGCTACGTGATTTAACTGTATCATACTTAGCACATGGTATTATTATTTCTCCTACTGGAGCAAGTTCTCATTTTCTCAAAGCCTTTCCCCCAGCTTTTCTAGAAATAAAGCTTAAACATCATTTGTTTCAAGCCTTCAAAATAAAGTTAACCTCATTTATACAGGTACCAGGTTGGTATACTCATATATATATTTTCCAAATTGCAGGCTAAGCAAAGGCATGCATTTAGAGCTGTATTAATATATTGAAGCAAAAGACAATCCAACTTAATATCAAGAGAAATTGTGACCTTCCATGTAGTGTTTGATAGAGAAAACACTGATTCTGACACATTGTCTTATTTTATTCAAAGAGCAGTCTGTTCACACATGGTCCAAGAACACTTGAATAATAAAGCAGATATAATCACATGTTAAAAATTGGTCTTCAAACATCATAGCCAATGATGCCACGCTTGCCTATGATCTTGCCAACATAAAACCACATCCACACCTCAGTGGCCACCAAACCATTCAGTAGAGCTTCCTTAACAGTGAGCTGTTTGAAGCTACCGGTTTTAGCACTGTTGATAATTTTTTTCAAGCTCTGAATTGCTGTAGGGATCTCAGCAGGGGTTGGAGGAACCAGCTCAACCTTGGCATAGTACCAAAACGTGGCCAATCGAGGCTTCGAGTAAGTCACAGCAGCGTTGACCAGCGCCGGGGCCTTCTCCGCGAGGTTACGGACAAACTGGGCCATGGTACTAGGTTGGAGAGCCCATCGCCCCGACTCAGCTCAACTGTTTTTAAAACGCTGCTATGGGTGCTCAATTCCTTTCACAAGAACTTTACTGTGATGCAAGTCTAAATTTCTTTTGGGGGGAAAAAAACCCCAACAACTTAGATTTATGCTTTTAGCAATTAATTAGCAAAAGAACCAAACTAAAAGGAATGCAGAGTAAGCACAAACTGACTCAAAGGACCTCAAGGCTAGAGAAAATCCAGCAGTTTTGTCCACTTGCTCAACCAGTGCAGGATCCTCCGTCTGCCCTCCTCACTGCAAAGCAGCTCCATGATCTCAGGAGGGTTAGAGAACTACTGGGTGCCAGGCCTGGTTCTGGGGCCTGTATTTGTGTTCTCATGTTACTTTCCACAACTTCCAATGAGTTATTACCTTCCTTTTTCAGAGGTGAAGAAAGTAAGTCTCAATGAAGTCAAATCTTTCAAAAGTCAAAATAGCTACTGAGTCCCAGGTTCAATGTCTCCTAAAGAAATCCTAAACATTCTTCTCCCAAAGAGAGGAAGAATCAGGAGTGGCATTTGGTAATAATGTTAGCAGTGGATAAAGTCCTCAAGTCTCCTCAGAAGAGACCCAGAATTCACAGAAGCCCTTTGGGTTAGGGGCACAAGAGTGTTGTCTGACTCTTTGATCATTGTCACAACTTTGCTTACCCACATTGATATGGCGATTCCCTTGTGAAAAACTACTGCACATGTTTGGATGGTAATGTATATGAGCAGTTTAAACCTCATTTACCAGACCTTTCATTACAGAAATGAGTCTTTCTACTTTTGCAGAATAAAATATCCTCAGTTGTCCAACTTTCACTCCCTTGCCCCCGAGATTTTTATTTTACATTTAAGGCCTCTGGCTTTGCAAGATCTTGCTGTTGTTTAGTTGCTTAGTCACGTCTGACTCTTTGTGAACCCATGGACTGTAGCCTGCTAGGTTCCTTTGTCCCTGGGATTCTCCAGGCAAGAATACTAAAGTGGGATGCTGTTTCCTTCTCCAGAGCATTTTCCCAACCCAGGGATCAAACCTGCATCTCCTGCACTGGCAAGAGGATTCTTTATCACTGAGCCACCTGGGAAATCCCATTCTAAGATCTTGTGCCATGTGCTCAGTCACTCAGTTGTGTCTGACTCTTTGTGACCCCAGGGACTACAGCCCACCAGGCTCCTCTGTCCATAGAATTTTCCAGGCAATGAAAAGACAGCTCTCAGATTGGGAGAAAATAATAGCAAATGAAGCAACAGACAAAGGATTAATCTCAAAAATATACAAGCAACTCTTGCAGCTCAATTCCAGAAAAATAAATGACCCAATCAAAAAATGGGCCAAAGAACTAAACAGACATTTCTCCAAGGAAGACATACAGATGGCTAACAAACACATGAAAAGATGCTCAACATCACTCATTATCAGAGAAATGCAAATCAAAACCACAATGAGGTACCATTACACGCCAGTCAGGATGGCTGCTATCCAAAAGTCTACAAGCAATAAATGCTGGAGAGGGTGTGGAGAAAAGGGAACCCTCTTACACTGTTGGTGGGAATGCAAATTAGTACAGCCACTATGGAAAACAGTGTGGAGATTTCTTAAAAAGCTGGAAATAGAACTGCCATATGACCCAGCAATCCCACTTCTGGGCATACACACCAAGGAAACCAGATCTGAAAGAGACACGTGCACCCCAATGTTCATCGCAGCACTGTTTATAATAGCCAGGACATGGAAGCAACCCAGATGCCCATCAGCAGACGAATGGATGAGGAAGCTGTGGTACATATACACCATGGAATATTACTCAGCCATTAAAAAGAATTCATTTGAATCAGTTCTAATGAGATGGATGAAACTGGAGCCCATTATACAGAGCGAAGTAAGCCAGAAAGATAAAGACCATTACAGTATACTAACACATATATATGGAATTTAGAAAGATGGTAACGATAACCCTATATGCAAAACAGAAAAAGAGACACAGATGTACAGAACAGACTTTTGGACTCTGTGGGAGAAGGCGAGGGTGGGATGTTTCAAGAGAACAGCATCGAAACATGTATATTATCTAGGGTGAAACAGATCACCAGCCCAGGTTGGATGCATGAGACAAGTGCTCGGGCCTGGTGCACTGGGAAGACCCAGAGGGATCGGGTGGAGAGGGAGGTGGGAGGGGGGATCGGGATGGGGAATACATGTAAATCCATGGCTGATTCATGTCAATGTATGACAAAAACCACTACAATATTATAAAGTAATTAGCCTCCAACTAATAAAAATATATGGAAAAAAAAAAAAAAAAGGATTTTCCAGGCAAGAATGATGGAGTTGGCTGCCATTTCCTAGTCCAATGGCTTGTCTTTCCTGTTGGTAAAAGATGCAGGAACCCTACATGGCTGGAGCCCCACACCTTGATAAAAGTGAGAACATAGCAGCTGTGATAAGGATGGTATCAGCCCCTCTTGGGCCCCTTAATTGCGAGCTACCCTTTCCTTTGGCTTGGGGAGTCTCCAATATTCTCTCCAGGGTCCTTCTTGCTCACCCCATCGTGGCCTACCTCGAGGGACTCAGAGCCTGAGTTTGGGGCTGTGTGCTAATGCATGCAGGGTGGCCACAGTGAGGTGGCTAAGATCTTAGTTCCTTGAAAAATCAGACAACAAAATATAGCTTCTGTGAAAACATATTAAATGAGTTTGGTTTCCTAATCTACAAGAGGTCACTACTACTCAGGGCACCTGTCTTTCCCTCTCCCGCCTTACCGAGAACATCGCTGGTGGCCATGATGTCGCATGTGTACATCGCTGCCATCAGTCGCTGCGGCTTCACCTGCAGTGCGTAGCGACAGGCTTCCTTCATGGTGGCTATGAGCTGCCCTGAGAAGGGCCCGTAGCAGTCAGTGAGTGGAGACTCTCCTCTCTGGGAAGCCCTCTTCTCAAAGGGCTCAGAGCCATCGTCTTGCAGCTCCTGCTGTTTGTCTCCATCTGAGCAGGTGTCACCTTCCCCCTGTCCCTCCTTCGTCAGATCACCCGGTTCTTGACTCTGTTTATTACTTGCTGTCTGTTCTTCAAACTTACTCAGGTCCCATTTTTCCAGGACGAAACACACACCCATGAGCGGCTCCTCGCACATGGGGCCGGAGAGGGTGGCTAGCTGGAAGCCGCTCACAATGCTGTTGCCCAGGTCTCGGTACCGACTGGCTTCTTTTGAAGCTTTGCCATCGAAGCCTGTCCACACTGAATTCTGAAAATCCTCACTTTTATTTACTAGTATGTTGGGCCCGCATTTTCTTGGGCCAAATGACCAGATTTGGTCCACTGTGTTCCTCCACTTCCTCCCGGTGAGGTGGTGCTCGAGCTTTCCTTTGAATTCCCAGATTTTCTCTTGGGTCTTCTGATGGATCATCTGAGAATTATTTTTGCCCTCGTTTAGAGAGGACGTTAACTGCTCCATAGAACGAATCAGGTCACTGCTTTCTTCTAGAATCTGAGTGACCTCCTCTGGGAGCGGCAGGGCTCGGACGCTGAGAGTGGCAAGTTTGTTGGGAGTCGTCATGGTGATGAGCCCATCGGAGTCAACCTGGATTCCTTCAGGGATTTTGCTCTGATCCTCCTTTGTTTGGTGGATGACCGCAACTTTCTGTTGTTTGCCGATTTCTTCATTGACCATGTCGACTTTTGGGGGTTTTGTGATTGTTTCTCTGAATGGAATGATGGGTTCAGATACACTGATTTGAATCTTGGCAAACCTACAAAGTTGAGAGGAATAACACAAGGTTATCATCAAAATGGCATCAGAACGCCCATGGAGCAATATTACATAATGAATATTCTACAAAAATGCAGATATATAAAAATTATTTCACTAGGAAATATTGGTGATTTACATTCTATCAGAATTCAAAAACCACTTTCACTTCACATTGAAAAGACCACCTCTAGTGGGAAGAGACCTTCAGGGAGTTCCTTGCATATACCAGAATCTCACTGCTTTGTTCATTCATTCTCAAAACAAATAAACCATGTATTTAGATAAGACTTTTGAGTGGAGAATAAATGTTTTAATAAGATTGACATATTAATTCTTTAAAATAATATTTGCCAGTTGAAGAATCTGGATAAGGAAAGCTTAATGATGAAAACTTAATAGAGAGAAAAAAAAATTCACAGAACATCAGGATATGCACTCAATTCCTGACAGTGTACTTGGCTTTGATGAGGCTCATGGTGAGGCCGGCAAGGTCGAGGAGCTTGTGAGCGGCTCTCTCCTAAAGACCTTCTGCAATGATAGGAATGCTCCGTACCTGTACTGTGATTACTGAGCACTTGAAATGCAGCTAGTATAACTAGGGAAATCAAGTTTTATTTTTACTTAATTTTAATTACATTTAAATAGCCACACGTAGCTACTGAACATCTGAAATGTGGCTAGTGTGACTGAGGGACTGAATTTTCAATCTTAGTCAACTTTAATATCTGGCCACTGTATTGGATCACAGAAGTCTTGACCCTCAGTGTGGCATCAAGTTCGGAAAGCCCTTTTTCTCACACGCCATCAAGTTTAGTTTCACATTGCACTTTCTTTCAGATGAGCTTTAAGTTCACAGAGGGCAGGTTCTGGAAACTGGCATGGTTTGAGTCTGATGATGATAAAACCAGGCCATCTTTCTTTTTCTCTTATTTTCTGTCTACCTCATTCCCAGGTAATACTAAGGATTTGGTCTGGTCTACCATTGGCAATGTGGATGGATATATGTATAAATGTACATATATATGTACATAAATAAGCATATATGTATGTACACATATATACTATGAGATATCTCTGGATCCTGGAATAATGCTTTTTCCCTGGGAAATGTGATTCAATAAGGAAATTAGATACTGAAATTAAAATGTTTTGAAATGCTTACTTTTTATTCTAGGTTTGTTTTTGCTTTCTACATTTTGTGGGTATAGGGCAGGTATTTGGTTTATCTGATTTTATACTTTTTGATAAATTTG